AGACCAGGAGACCGTGAGTTCTAGTCCCACCTCAGGCATGAAAGCCGGCTGGGTGACTTTGGGCCAGTCCCTCTCTCTCAGCCCAGCCCACCTCACCTCAGAGATGTTGTTGTGGGGAAAAGAGGAGGAGGAAAGAGTACAAGGTGTGTTTGCCACCTTGTGTTGTTTATAAATAATAAAGCTGGGATAAGAGCTGTAAAAAAAATGTAAATCCATAACAGATAGTTATGTTTTATACACTTGCATATTAAACCTGAAGGTCCTACACCAGGAAAGCTAGTTTCTCAATGGAGCTTAAGAGAACCACAATATCATACCCCATTGATTTCATTGGCACTGACCAGCTACGCTCACACAACATAGTTAAATTGATTACTGGATTTTATAGGTTCACATGGAAATTGGGTTTTATTCTAGACTGCTTATATTGAACCATAAATTAAGCAAATGTTCAACACAGACACACACATACAGAAACAAGCAACCCAAGATTAAACCTGAGCAAGTTTAGCATGCAGTGCAAAAGGCATCTGCTTGATACGTGTTTGCAGAGCCAGCAAAATCCACTTTCTTTGTGTTGGGCAAAGAGGCTAATTAAACAGACGGTTCATCAGAGTCTGTACAACTCTTTCAAAAAGGACTGCACTAATCAGTGGTTTTATGGTGAAGATAGTAGAGAGAGCAAGAGAACAGATGAAACCCATCCCCTGTTCTTCTTTGTGTTTGAGTAAGTGAGCCAGGTGGAATTAGAATTGAGGACAAAGTCGCATGCCACACGGGCCTGCCTTTTCTGTTCCGCCACCAACCACTCCCTGTCTTTGGGATACCGGACAATTGCTAGTCTTTAGCTGCTGGACCTGTGTGGAATGAGACATGGCATCTTCTTATCCTTCATTTCAGCACCCAAATGTTTTGGGCTAGCCTTGTCATAATTCCTTGGAACACCACCCTGATGCAAAATAACTTTGCTGTTCCGTTTTCTTTGCTCTGGAGAAAGTAAGGCTTGTTTTAAAAAATTGCATGCATAAATAACCTTTAAATGTTTGAGTTTGTGAGTTAATGCTTGAATCCAGTTACTCAGACAAGCGTCTTTTCCTGAGATGGATGTCACTGGGAGGGTCTTGCTTCAAAAACAGCCCTGCTCCCAGATTTCTGTATTTAACTTTCCTTTCAGACAAGGGACACTGTCTTTGATTTACTTTCTTTCATGAACTCTGGTACTCTGAAGCATGTAGAGCTATTCTTGTTACATCTTGTTTGTATGTTCTTGTTTGCGACCATATAGTAAGGGGCCATCTGCTCTCTGAAAAGCAAGAACGAGTTCTTCTCTAGCAGAAATTCTAATCAAGACTGTTTTTGCTCATCCAACATACTTTGGATTAGAAAGATGTAGAAAGTCAATGTCATTGCTCAATCTACTAACTCATAATTGTCTTCAGCAACACTGATGTTCTTTAAGATATCATTCAGTATTGCTTGTTTGAAGGATTAATTGGTGAAAATCTGAGATACAATTCTTTTGAAAAACTGGATTATCCTAATATATCTTTATTTCTGCTCAGCTAAGTTATCTAAGCTTGTTTCTCCAACTATTTAAACCTACAGATAAAAGATCAGGTAAAATATGAAGAAAGTCCTCTTGCCCTTTCTCCACCCCCAAATCTACCTACTAAGAGGTAC